CGAAGAGGAAACGCGGTGAAGCCGGAGTTCTTACAGAACCCTGAAGAGGCGAAGAAGCGAGAGTATCGGCATCTGGTGAAAGCAGTCAACAAGAGTTTACCGCTGCGACAATTGACACTGGGCGGAACTCAAAGCGCAGAACCTGGAACAGACGGCTTTGAAGAAGAACTGAAAGACGCTGCATAGACAAGTCAACACCATCCCCAGTGGCAGCAGACGTAAGTCCCTAACTTGTCTGATTTGCAGCAGGGCGCTTCCAGATTCAGACTGCCATCAGAAGAGATGAGCCGAACACATCGAAGGTGTCCTAAATCGCCTCGCTCCAATGGATGCTCTGGAAATGAAGTTTGAAGACCGGGAAGAACTGGAAATTGGCACGACAGGATTGGTGCAGTAATCCTCAAAGAACCCAGGCGAAATCCTAATGAACTGCATCATTCTGGTTTTTGACAGCATCAGAAGTCAGAAATCCCTGACAACCGGAAGCAGGAAGTGATCATTCCGATATTCAAAAGTGAGAATCGTTCTGACTGTATTACCATCACGGGATCATGCTTGTGAGTGTGCTGAAAGAGATATTCTGGCGAATCCTCCTCCAAAGACTGAAGAACGCAGTTAACGACTCGCTTCGATCAAATCAAAGAGGTTTGCGAACTGAACTCTCGTGTAGGTTGACATCTCCGTACTGAAGAAAAGGGAAAGAGCCTCCAACTACCGTGAGATGCAACATTCCTCAACTCCCGAGCAGCTTTCGACTCAGTGCACCGTCAATCCTTGTGAAGCACACTGCGACACTCTGGAGTACCGCAGATCATCGGTATGCTGAAAGGACTGTACATTGGCCTGAACATCATCTGCAACTCAGCAAACGACAGGACATGATTGATAAACCGACCCGACACCTCATCCAGATCTTCTTTGCTAGCCATAATGCAAGAACACTACTGACGTAATTTTTTTCTAAATTACATGACGGAAATGTAGAAGATCAATGCGGATTTCATTGGAATATGCGACGCCAAAAAAATCTACTGATCTTGATGATGTTGTGCAATAGAACACAGGTGACCAAATGTTTCTCGAGAAGGCCATGGAGAACTGTGTTAACCGGCGGATTTGGGTTCGCATCAAAAGAGAAGGCTATAATATTGTACTGAACTGTGATATTTTATCACATCTTATGGCAGTTCTACTTTATTCTATTTCAGCAGTGAGAACAATTAAAGCTGACAGCTTAACCCAACGAAATGAGGATGAAAACGTAGAGCACTTGTGCGAGAATTTGGAAAACGAAATGAAGGGGAAGGCTACTCATGCGATTGTCCAGAGAGAATTCGATGCAGTGGTGAAGAAAAACCGAAAGAGTCATTTATCGCTAAACACGGAAAGGGCCAAATAAATTAACGTGGAGATCCTCCGACAACTTTCAGTCACCTGCGCCTCATCGAAGTACCGTTTTCTAAAAAGGCTTTAAGGCAACAGTGGAATTTGAGGAGCCCAGAAGAAGAGTAGTAGAGTAGTTGAACCAAATCGACTACCTATTCACTGAAAACCAACGAATATTATCTGACGCATCGATCACGCCATAATCTGTTCTATTGCGTACTCACTAACGATGCCGCAAAAACTGATTCAAATATCCTATAGGTCATCGCTTTGTCGAGAACTAAAATTCGATTCCGAGGCTTTGGCGATGAAGCTGTCATTAATGAATCTAGAAATGAACATTAGCGCGGCATTGAATCAAATTATGACCATTTTGTCAGTGCCATTAGGACCGAGAGCAACGAATCAGTCGTTCGAAAACGCAGCTAATGGCCAGAAGAGCCTAGCTGAAGGCCGAGGGCAAAATAGATAATTTGTGCACTGCATTATGCAAAGAGACATGGAAGAGATCGAGGGAAGACTACGTAAATGACAGTCGAATTCGATTAAGAGAGGCCATGAGGCAGAAGAGTAGCCTGCACGTGGTGGAACCAGACATTCACCTAAAGCAATGGATTCTGAGTGCGTTGAATGACGAAAGATGTTCAAGAACTAATAATCGCAATTGGCTGAACGGCATCCCCACAAATCCTTACCAACCATGGTCGAAACCCATGCTATTCCAAGATTGGCGCGAACCGGTGGTTGTAATTCGTGGTCACGTTAGCCATTCCAGAAGTCACCTGAGAAAACATTGAGTAGGTAACCAGAAATATTAAAAATAGTAAATATCTAGGCAAGCAAGTTATTAGGCCAGAATGACTTAGGGCACAACGAACAATCTTGTCTAATGCACTTGCCAGACTTTTTGGGAAATGCAGCAGGCGAAGCACACTTCTCGTCGCTACATCTCCTATGCTGAAGATGTCGTTGTTATGTTTGCGACTGACCCATTTATCCATGTACGACACAAGCATGATGATGGGCTGAAACAATGAATCTAGTGTATCATTACGCATTTAATTTAAATAAATCCGTGCTATTGAATTTTAAGCCTTCCTCTTTCTTTTGAGCAAGAAAACATGTTCTTAT